TCAGTATTAGGACTGGGCCCTACTCTGTCCAGTTGCCTTGCACAGAGCCAAACCAGGTTTAATAGCCAGATCCCATATGGTACATATGGTCCAATAGGAGTGATCCAGCAGGAGTGATCCCTGTGTGTAGAGTCAGGAGTAAGCCCTGATTTCTACCAGCTGTGGATCAACAACCAACCCCCCATCAGTATTATCAGATAAAGACAATAAAATAGCTCTTATAATTGTAATTTTTGTATTCAAAAAGTAAAGCAGAAACATTACTGATGCAAAAGATTCAAATCAGGTTTCTAGAGATGAGGATTATGGCTAGAGTGAAACTTAAGTATTAATGCCTTAATTGAAAATTTATATGTTTAAATGATATTATTAACATATAAGAATTATTGACATCATATTAACCAATTAAAATCATATTGGACAATGAAGAAGAGAAGTTAGTGAATTTGATTCCATTTCAATGGAATCCATCTAAAATGAAGCATAGGAGGTAAAAAAAATCATAAAAATCTAAAAGTATTGGTGAGGTAACTACAATAAACAATTAAATCCCACAAAGAAAATGGAAATATAATTCTTTATATAAGTAACCTTTCTGAATGTCAATGGACTTAACTTTCCCATAAAAAGACTTAGAGTGGTTGGATGGATCAAGGGAAAAAATACAACCTTCTGCTGCTTGTAGAAATGCAAACTAATTCTCAAAATTCACACAGGTTCAGAAAAAGAATGCAAAAATAATTATACAAGGTAACAGTACAGTAAGAACTACAGTTATAATTATATAATATTTAATATCATTCAAAATTAAGATAATAGATAGGGGTGGTCATTTGGACTGATTAAGATATCAGTAGATCAGGATGTGTGAATGCTTATTAATACATATGCACTAAATTACTGGGCAGCAAAGTTTATAAAGATATTATTCACAGAACTAAAATAAATATGGATGCAAATACAATAGTATTTGGATATTTCAATGCCCGACTTTCATCATTGGACAGATCAACTGTATAGAATACCAGTAAAGAAAAAGAATGGAGCCATGCCTTTTCAGAATGGGGAAAGGTAGATTTCCCTCCATTCTAGCGAGACCCATCAGCCAACACAACCAAACTCCTCTATCATTCGGAGATTATTGGTTCCTTAATTTACATTATCATCTTGTAGATTGTTGATTTGATGTCCTCCTTTACCATTTTTCAGGATTTTGATCCCTGGGTCTCTGACAGTTGGTGGAAGCAGAAAGGGCAGGGTAGGGTGGGGCTCCTGATTTCAATTCCTTCGTCGCCTGTGGTTGGTGGGAGCAAGCAGAGAATCTCTGGCCCGCGTCCATTGAGCCTGGAGTCCAAGGTCTCAGAGTTCCGCTTATCTTGTTCTGTGGGGCTTCAGTCGTGTGTAAGTCTCGGCCGGAGCATCCGGAAAGCATCCTGGAGCATGGCGGCGGCTGAGTAGTGGAGGTAGTGGAGGTAGGGATTGCATTGCGCACAGAAGACCCACACTACCCCAACCGGTACCAGATAAATACCTCACAGACAGACCTCCAATAACTCCACTACCTCTACTACCCAGCTGCCGCCACGCTCAATGATGCTTTCCGGACAGCGTGGCTGCAAAGCTGCCAGGAGACACATTGTAAGACACTTAATATCCATCTTCAAGAATTGCCATACCGTATTTGATAGGGTTCAAATATGGTTTGAACCATGGGAACACCTACAAGGGCGATTAGAGGCCGCCCCAAAAGCCTCTATCTCTCTTGGAGAGCCTGGCAAGCTACCGAGAGTATTCCACCCCCATGGCAGAGACTCGCAAACTATCCATTGTGTATTCGATATGCCAAAACCAGTAATCACAATGGGTCTCATTACTCTGACCTGAAGACGTCACCAAGATGGCAGCATTGATAAGGATGAGAAAGGAGAGGCTGATAAAAATCTCAAGGCCGAACTAGGCTACCAAAACGAAGGAAGACAAAAATGATCATCTGCATTTTCAATGCACGTATGCTAGCATCAGATGCATCCATCGAGGACCTGATGACACAAGCACGAAAGATCAAGTACGACACCATTGGTCTGACCGAGACAAAAGGCACCAATCACATCATGCCGTTTTCAACACTGGAGAAGAATTTTTCCTTGGAACATGCGATAAAAGGGGCATGGGAGTCGTCGGTGTCCTTGTCAACACGAACTTGGCCATGATTCATTCGAATGCCTAACAACCCGAATTGAACGTGTACTTGAATAGATGGGCTCACTGCCGGCAGTTTCTATCTTCGTTGTCTACACACCAACATCCAATTATGATGAAGGAGAAATTGAGAAGTTCTACATGGAACTGGAGAAGTTCTATAAAGAAGACCACACCTTCTACAAGATCATTGTGGGTGATTTTAATGCCAAGATAGGACCGAGAAGATCAGCCAAAGAACTCCACATCAGGACCCATGGCCTAGAATGGAACGAACAGGGTGAGAGACTGTCTGAGTTCATCATGTCGACCAAGACCATCCATGGTAACTCACAGTTTCAGAAGGCCGAGTCTAAACGTTGGACATTGGAATCTCTTGGTAGACTGTTCCACAATGGGAATGGACCACCACCTCCTTTGTGCAAAATTCTACTTCACAGAGCGGGGAGAAAGGGCTGCAAAGTTTAACAAGAGAACTCCCAGAACGACCACACACTGGGAGCTCTTTGGCACTATTGATGCAACATGGGAAGATGCCATCATTGACAACATTGACGAGGAATATGATCGACTGGTTAAGCACCTCCATGATTGTGCAAGGAATGCCAAGAGAGAGATAGCCACAAAAAAAGCCTGTTTTCGAAAACACTTGAGCTTATTCGCCAACGTGGTTTGGTGCATGCCCCAGGCAACCGAAAATGAATGTTGGAGCTCGGAAAGCAGTGCAGAGATGCGATCAAGGAAGACCTCAAAGAAAGAAGAGCAGAAGTGCTGCTAGATACGACAGAAGCTGGGAAAAACATTCGTAACGCCTGCCTGTCCTTCCCCAACTACAAGAACAAGATGACTGTCCTCCGACGTCCTGGTGGATCTATCACATCTTCCAGAAGGGCAATGGAGAAGATTATCCATGACATATACTCAGATCTCTTTGATAGCCATGTCCACCTGCCCACATACCAAATTCCACAGGATGGAAATGTCGTTCCCAATGTTCTCCTTCCAAAAATCGAAACGACATTTTGTCGGTAAAGAAACGAACAGCACCCGGCCCGGACAAGGTCAGACATGAACACCTGAAGAACCTGCTGTCAGTACTCATCAATAGGCTGGCTAGGCTCTTCACACGCTACCTGTCTGAATGCAAGGTTCCGTCCCAATGGAAAACCAGCAGGACCGTACTACTGTACAAGAACGGAGACATCCACGACATTGGCAACTTACGCCCAATCTGCCTATTGTCTGTCTTCTAGAAACTGTTCACTCAACTCATCCTGAATAGGATTAGCAGAACACTGGATGAAAGACAACCATGCGAGCAAGACGGGTTCTGCAAAGAATACAGCACTATCGACCATATGCACACGATAAACAAGCTCATTGAGTTTTCTTGGAAGTTCAAGATGCCGCTCTGTCTAACATTCATTGATTTAAAGAAGGCTTTTGATTCTCTTGAGATGGAAGCGGTCATTGAAGCCCTAGCCAATCAGGGCATTCAAACTCAATACATCAGGATCCTTCATGAGCTGTATTACGGATTCACTACCAGGATCTCACCATTCTACAAAGAAGTGATCATCGATGTCAGGAGAGGGATTCAGCTGGGTGATACCATTTCACCGAAACTCTTCAGTGCCACCATCGAGAACATCATGCAACGACTGGAATGGGAAGGGACGGTAGTGAAGATGGATGGTCGGCAATTACACCTCCTCCGCTTTGCTGATGACATTGTTCTAATAACACAAAACATTAGCCAAGCAGCACAAATGCTGGCTGACTTCAACTGTGAGTGTGGAAAGGTCAGACTACACCTGAATCTTACGATGACAATGTTTATGAGAAACAACCTCATTCCTGATGCTCCATTTGCTCTCAATGGAACGACCATCTCCGAATGCAACAGTTTTGTGTACCTAGGTCAAGAAGTCAACATGATGAATGACCTGGCACCTGAGTTGTGCAGGAGGAAGAGAGCAGCTTGGAACGCCTTCAAGAGCGTCGAAGAAATAGCTAAGAGGACAAAGAACCTCCGGCCCCAGGCACCTCTCTTTGATTCCACTGTTCTTCCTGCATTAGCATATGCCTCAGAGACATGGGCCCTATGCAAACAGGATGAGAAGGCTCTTCGGGTATCCCAAAGAGGAACTGAAAGAGCTATGCTTGAAGTAGCACGTTTCACTCAAATGAGAGAAAGTTCCGACCTCCGTCGACGATCAAGAATCAGGGACGCTGTCTCATTTGCCAAGACATCAAAAATAAGATGGGCTGGACACGTAATGAGATTAAGAGATTACCGCTGGACTAGAACCTTTACCGACTGGATTCTACATGACGTCAAAAGACCACGTGGCCGCTCACCTACCAGATGATCAGACTTCTTCATCAAGATCATGAATGATCGGTTTTAGGCTCTTCGTGTTCCTATAACGAACAGATGTCATTGGGCTACACTAGGACGCGACAGGGACAAATAGAGATGTTACTGGCATCCGCTCAAGAAAATCGACCATTAACGGGAAGTCAAGTTATCAAGTGATCAAGTGAGAATTTTGATGATCAAGAGGACTTACCTGGACTTCTATTTCTATCTTCAGGAGCAGCTAAATTCCTTTGGTTTTCTTTGTTCTTAAAGTTTTGTGCATGGTGGAGGTGAAACTTAAGATATTGGAAGTTCTATGAGAACTCGTGTCCAGTAGAAAATATGCCACTTGAGGGGGCTGGGAGATAGGACAGGAGAAGGACAACATCGGTTTTGAAGGTTAAATTTCAACCAGGAGAAGGAAATGGTGCTGAAAGATAATAAAGTGTTATTTATGAAACACTATCAACAATAGTGTCATCCTTGCGCAGGGGCCATGCTAATCTTCTCTGTATCGTTCCAATTTTAGTATATGTGCTGCGCCTTACAAGCGGCCAACATGGCCGACCCGAGTTCGATTCCTCCGCCCCTCTCGGAGAGCCCGGCAAGCTACCGAGAGTATTTGATATGCCAGACACAGTAACAACAAAGTCTCCAATGGAGACGTTACTGGGCCCGCTCGAGCAAATCGACGATCAACGGGAGGGCCTTTACCTTACCTTACCTATCAACAATAGTACTGAAAACCACAGTGCAATATATGGACACTCATATATATACGTATGTGTGTACATATGTATATATATAAGAAAGAATGCAAATCCCCACCACATCGAGAGGACAACAAAAAGAATCCAGAAGCCTCTGTAGGTGCTGCTCACCTAAGGGACTTCTCTGACAAAGAATTCAGATATGAAGTCATGAAGATGTTGAATGCACTCAATGAAACACTAGACAGATATCCAGTAGCATGACGGAAACTATCGACAAATTATGGGAAGAAATGAGAACAGAAATGTCAGGAATGAAAGATTCTGTAGATGAAATAAAAAAACTCAGGCTGTGCACTCAATAGTGTCCTAAGATATGATTCAAAGAGGAACAACATTAGAATCACTGGAGTTCCAGAAGCTCAGGGAAACAATGTTTTTGTTAGGGTCTCTTTTAGCTGGCACCCTTTTGGCTCCTTGAACCTGAATGGCTGCATTGTTGAGCTCTGGGAATTTTTCAGCAATGATTTGTTTAACCATGTTTTTTTCATTTGGATTGTTTCCCTGAGCTTCTGGTACTCCAGTGATTCTAATGTTGTTCCTCTTTGAATCATCTCTTAGGACACTGATTCCCTCGAGAGCTATTTTGAGGTTCCTTGACCACAGTTTGTTGTTGCCTGTTGGCTTAGGGCAGCTGATCTTCCAGCTCACTGATTCTCTCTTCAGCTGCGGTCATTCTACTGTTGAGTGCACAGCCTGAGTTTTTTATTTCATCTACAGAATCTTTCATTCCTGACATTTCTATTCTCATTTCTTCACCGTGAGATAGTTACAAGCTTTCATGTTTCGGTTACAGTCACACAATGATCAAACACCCATCCCTCCACCAGTGCACATTCCCCACCACAAATATCCTTGGTATACCCCCCATTTACCACCCTCCCTCTGCTTCCATGGCAGACAATATTACCCATAATCTCTCTCTACTTCTGGGCATTATGGTTTGCAATGCAGATACTGAGAGGTTATCATGTTTGGTCCATTATTTACTTTCAGCACACATCTCACATCCTGAACGGTTTCTCAAGCCATTGTTTTCTTAGTGATCTCTTCTTTTCCTCCAGCTGCCTTCTCCCCTTTGCTCATGAGGCAGGCTCCCAGCTATGGAGCAATCTTCCTGTCCCGTGTCTCTACTATCCTTAGGTGTCAGCCTCATGTTATGTTGCTTTATACCCCATAAATTAGTGTAGTCCTTCTGTGTCTGCCCCTCTCTTTCTGACTCATTTCACTTAGCATGATACTCTCCGTGTCTATCCATGTATAAGCAAATTTTATGACTTCATCTCTCCTAACAGCTGCATAGTATTCCATTGTGTAGATGTACCAAAGTTTCTTTAACCAGTCATCTGTTCTAGGGCACTTGGATTGTTTCCACGTTTTGTTTCCATTTTATCCATCCTTTAATCAGATATTGAGTGATAGGAGATCCTTGTATATTTAAATTAATTCCCTATCAAATGTGTGCTTTACAAATCACTTGATCACTTGATAACTTGAGTTCCCGTTAATCGTCAATTTGCTCAAGCGGGCGCCAGTAACGTCTTCATTTGTCCCTGTCGCGTGTTAGTGTAGCCCAGTGGCACCTGTTCATTCTAGGAACATGAAGAGCCTCAAACCGATCGTTCAGGATCTTCATGAAGAATTCTGACCATCTGGTAGGTGGCTGGCCACACGGTCTTTTGACATCCCGTGTAATCCAGTCGGTAACTGCTCTAGTCCAGTTGTCGACTCCAAATCTCATTACGTGTCCAGCCCATCTGATTTTTGACACCTTGGCAAACAAGACAGCGTCCCTGATACTTGATCATCAATGGACGTCATTACTCCGTATTCTTTCTCTCCTTTGAGTGAAATGTGCTTTCAATTCCTCTTTGGGATACCCGAAGAGCCTTCTCATCCTCTTTACGTGGGGTCCAGGTCTCTGAGGCGTATGTTAATGCAGGAAGAACAGTGGAATCAGAGAAATGTACCCGGAGTCTGAGGTTCTTTGTTCTCTTAGCTATTTCTTTGATGCTCTTGAAGGCATTCCAAGCTGCTCTCTTCCTCCTGCACAACTCAGTTGCCAGGTCATTCATCATGTTGACTTCTTGACCTTGGTACACATAACTGTTGCATTTGGAGATGGTCGTTCCGTTGAGAGTGAATGGAGCGTCAGGAATGAGACTGTTTATCATAAACATTGTCTTCGTAAGATTCAGGTATAGTCTGACCTTTCCACACTCACAGTCGAAGTCGGCCAGCATTTGTGCTGCTTGGCTAATGTTTTGTGTTATTAGAACAATGTCATCAGCAAAGAGGAGGTGGTGTAATTGCCGACCATCCATCTTCACTACCGTCCCTTCCCATTCCAGTCGTTGCATGATGTTCTCGATGGTGGCACTGAAGAGTTTCGGTGAAATGGTATCACCCTGCCGAACCCCTCTCTTGACATCAAAGATTACTTCTTGGTAGAATGGTGAGATCCTGGTAGTGAATCTGTAATACAGCTCACGGAGATCTTGATGTATTGAGTTTGAATGCCCTGATTGGCTAGGGCTTCAATGACCGCTTCTGTCTCAACAGAACCAAAGGCCTTCTTTACATCAATGAATGTTAGACAGAGCGGCATCTTGAACTCCCAAGAAACCTCAATGAGCTTGGTCATCATGTGGATATGGTCGATGGTGCTGAATCCTTTGCAAAACCCGGCTTGCTCGCATGATTGTCCTTCATCTACTGTTCTGCCAGTCCTATTCAGGATGAGTTGAGTGAACAGTTTCTAGATGACAGACAATAGGCAGATTGGGCGTAAGTTGCCAATGTCGTGGATGTCTCCGTTCTTGTACAGTAGTACGGTCCTGCTGGTTTTCCATTGGGACGGAACCTTGCATTCAGACAGGTAGCATGTGAAGAGCCTAGCCAGCCTATTGATGAGTACTGACAGCAGGTTCTTCAGGTGTTCATGTCTGACCTTGTCCGGGCCGGGTGCTGTTCGTTTCTTTACCGACAAAATGGCGTGTCGGTTTTCGGAAGGGAGAACATTGGGAACGACATATCCATCCTGTGGAATTTGGTATGTGGGCAGGTGGACATGGCTATCAAAGAGATCTGAGTAGAAGTCATGGATAATCTTCTCCATTGCCCTTCTGGAAGATGTTTTTTTTTATTTAATCATTTTTTTTATTAGTGAAACACCATGAGGTACATTTATAGACTTATAAATTTTTGTGCTTGGGTTTCAGTTATACAATGATCAAGTACTCAACCCTCCACCAGTGCCCATCCTCCCCCACCACGGGTCCTAGCATCCCTCTCCCCCCCATCCCCCCCGTCCCACCCTGCCGCTGTGGCAGGGCATTCCCCCTTGTTCTCTCTCTCTTCTTTTGGGTACTGTGTTTTGCCAGAGAGGCATTGAGTGGCAATCATGTTTGGTCTATAGACTACTTTTAGCATGTCTCTCCCACCCTGGGAGGGTTTCACATTGAAAAAGTTTAGAAGGGACAGTGAAGGCTATTTTCTCTTCATCAAGGGATACATACAGCAGGAAGAAATCACACTCTTAAATGTATATGCACCTAATGAGGGAACAGCTAAATATCTAAAACAACTGCTAACAGATTTTAAGGAGGACATCGCTACCAACACAATAGTACTTGGAGACTTCAACATCGCCTTATCAACTCTGGATAGATCAACAAGAACAAAACCCAGCAAGGAATTATTGGCTTTGAAAGAAGAAATAGAAGAGAAAGGGCTTATAGACCTATACAGGGCTTTACACCGCCAAAAGAAAGAATACACATTCTTCTCCAGTGCGCACAACTGGAAGATGTTTTAGATCCACCAGGATGTTGCAGGACAGTCATCTTGGTCTTGTAGTTGGCGAAGGACAGGCAGGCGTTATGAATGTTTTTCCCGGCTTCTGCCGTATCTAGCAGCACTTCTGCTCTTCTCTCTTTGAGGTCTTCCTTGATCGCATCTCTACATTGTCTTGTGAGCTCCGCTGTTCGCTTGCGGTTACCTGAGGCATGCGCCAAACCACGTTGACAAATAATCTCAAGAGTTTTTGAAGACAGGCTTTTTGTGACTCTCTCTCTCTTGGCGTTTCTGGTACAATCATGGAGGTGCTGAACCAGTCAATCGTATTCCTCGACAATGTTATCAAGAACGGCATCTTCACATGTTGCATCAATAGTGCCAAAGAGCTCCCAGTTTGTGGTCGTTCTGGAAGTTCTCTTGTTAAACTTTGCAGCCCTTTCTCCCCGCTCTGTGAAGTAGAATTTTGCATAAAGGAGTTGGCCGTCCGATCCCGTTTGTAATTTTGGGATAATAGCGACATTGGTTAAGCAAAACCGTCAATTGAATATTATGTGGTCTATTTCGTTGTGGATTCGTCCACCGGGAGACTTCCATGTCCAACATTTGTATTCGGCCTTCTGGAACTGTGAGTTACCATGGATGGTCTTGGTCGACAAGATGAACTCAGACAGTCTCTCATCCTGTTCATTCCATTCTAGGCCATGGGTCCCAATGTGGAGTTCTTTGGCTGATCTTCTCGGTTCCTATCTTGGGATTAAAATCACCGACAATGATCTTGTAGAAGGTGTGGTCTTCTTTATAGAACTTCTCTAGCTCCATGTAGAACTTCTCAATTTCTCCTTCATCATAATTGGATGTTGGTGTGTAGACAACGAAGATAGAAACTGCCGGCAGTGAGCCACATCTATTCAAGTACACGTCCGATTCGGGTTGTTAGGCATTTGAATGAATCAATGCACATACCAAGTTCGTGTTGACAAGG